AAAGCCTCATGCCTCTCTTCGACACATACGATATTGTTTTCGCTGGTGGTTCGCAATCCTTTAACATGGATTTTGTATGAGCGAAGTTACTCATATCTCCTTGTACAGGTGGTACTGCTGCCTGTATCATCGCTGGTCGTCTTGCTCAAGCTGATCCATCGTTGAAGATTTTGGTACATCTCCGAGTTCCCTAGATGTTGATCCTTGCTACAACTATGTTCAGGTATTAGAAGCAGGCCCGCATAGTTTCAACCTGCACAATCACGTTCAGCCCGCTAGATACCTCAACAGCCTTGTTCAAGGTCATACTGTTACACTCCACAACAGTGTCCACAGTGAAGCGCTTGGTGGAAGATCCGTTTCTGTTCCCTCTGGATGTTGCGTCGGTGGTGGGTCTGCTGTGAACTGTGAGTGGTGATGTCACAATTCAATCTTCCTCATCATTTAACCAATCCTAGTCATGATTTATACCCGTGCTGCTGCATCTGACTACGACGACTGGGAAAAACTAGGTAATTCTGGTTGGGGATCAAATTCACTTATCCCTTTAGCCAGAAAAGTAAGTGTTCAAATGATTAGCAGCCGCACATCTTTCTTATCAGCTTCAACCAGGTTGAAACCTACCAAGTTCCTTCTGACAGCCCGTCAGCGCACGGGTCCACGGGTCCCATTAAAGTATCTCATGGAGGACACGACACCAACATTGGCAAAGAGTTCTTAACTGCGGCGCAATACGATCAAGACAGAAAAATTTCGCCCTCCGTTGATATCAACGATTTTCAGACAACGAATGTATATGGGGTATGTCTGTTCGCTTCCCAGAATTCCCCTCGTTGACAAAGATTGCCCCTTCTCAGCCTTGGCACAAGTAGGTGATAATGCATCCCATTTTCTGATCAACTGAGCCACTTCGTGCTAGATATATTGACTCAAATACGGGAAAACGTTCTGACGTTGCGCATCATTTTCTGTATAATCTTCCAAATTTTAGCTTGGACCCCAACGAAGGCAATAACTTGCATGTCCTGACCAACCGGCGAGTGGTCAAAGTGATCTTCAAGTATATCAAGTTTCCATTAGCATATCAGTTTCACTTGTTCAAGTGAACGCCTTTTTCTTCCAGAGATAATCGTGCAATCGGTGTTGAGTATGTTGCTCGTGAGGATTTGAATGTAGAGTCTCGATTGCCGCCTCGAATCGCATATGCTTCCCGCTTAGTTGTACTTGCTAGTGGAGCTTTCGGGTCGCCCGCAATTTTGGAACGGTGAGCTGAAACACATTACATATGTATAATTTACTCACTCGATTTTTCCGCTGCCCTCGAATTTTTTGCTCTTATTTGGTTCGCGGTCTCTTTGCAGTTCTGGAATCGGGTCTGCACGTTATCTAGCAGACGCGGATATTCGTCAGATAGTTGATCTGCCAGGTGTAGGAGAGAATTACAATGGTAACTCCTCCTTTCGGTCTTCACGCAGGACCTATGTGATATTTGCATAGATCATACCCTCTGTGTTACCCAGTATCTTGCCTCTGAAGACTCCGACTGTCTAGACGATATTTTCAATGGAGATGAAGAAGCCATCAAACGTAAAACTTGTTTCAAGCAATGTTGACCACTGCTGACTGACAATTACGAATCACCATCAAAGCCCATCTCAAGAAATGGCAAGAGGAAGGCTCAGGGCTTCTGGCACACAAGTGAGCTGAGTTTAGTTTTGATGTTAATTATAATGCTGAACGATGTTTGTTTCAAGTTCCGTAGATGCGGGGGTCAAGTTACGGCCTACGCCAGAAGAGCTTGAAGAGCTTGGGCCCTCTTTCAGACAGATATGGGAGGAGTTTTACGTTGGAGCTCCAGATAAGCCAGTCGCATGCTTAGTTCCAACTGCGGGGTCAGAATATTTCTCTTGTTCAATTTGGACAAGTATTGATTAGGCTTTATACTATGCAGGGATGTCCAAAATTCTGCTCCACCCGGGTTGAAGACATTTGGAATCATCTTTTTTATGGTGAGTTTGCTATATCCATTCATCTGATCACAATAAAAACCCAGTTGTAAGGCGTACCCTCGGGCTACAGGCTACACCCATATCTCTTCTCCTACAAATCCTTGGGCTCCTTTAAAGTTTGATCCCAAGTTTCTAGAAGAGTGTGTATGATATTTGCTGGATATTTACTTTCTTGGCCCGTCCGACTGAACTCTTCCTGTTCTTAGTCCTGCGGACCTCTCGGTCCTTCGATGGTGCTACAAGCATGCTCGTGAACTTGCTCGCCGGATGAAGTCATTCAGAGGAGAAATTCCTACTAGGCATCCCAAATTTTGTTCTAAGTCTTCGGTTTCCGGTGTCAGCAATGGTGCCCTGTGCACTATGTCCTGCAATGGTACTTCGTACGCTGTACCTACCAAAAGCACAGCATCCATAGTCCGTTCTGCCTCTGGACCATTTGCCATTGATTCCCCGAAAATTGTCTATTCAAAGGAGGATGATAGAGCCATAGATGAGTATATCAGAGCCACCGGTGAGAGAGATGTTGATCCTTTATTTTCTATCTACTGAAATTCTTTTCGTCTGCCCTAATCAGTGGGTACCACTTGGCATTCGGTGGGTGGTAATCCATCCTACCCCCAATCTTTGCTCATCATCATTTCTCTTGTACACAGCTCGGTACATGCGCAATGAAACCTCGAGAAGCCGGCGGAGTTGTCGATTCTCGGCTCAACGTGTACGGAGTGGAAAATCTGAAAATAGCGGGTATGTCATACTGCTGGTTGATTCCTTGAGATTCCATTGCTCATTGTTCGTAGACATGAGCATTGCTCCACTAAACGTCGGAGCGAACACCAATAATACCGCACTTGTCATTGGGTATGTGTATACTACGATTGGGAGCTCCGCATTAACAGAGGTCTTCAGAGAAAGGGCCTTTCTCCTCATTGCAGAAGATTTGGGCATCTCGCTTGAAAGTGAAACAATCAGCCATAGCCTGAAGAATTTGAGTCTCTGTGCTCATTTGAATGGTAACTGAGTTCATAGAAATATGTGTAGTTGTAAGTTAGCACGATAAAAAGAATAGAGTTTGGAATGAAGTGTCCTCCGTACGCGATGCTGATTCAAGTTGTGTATAAGGGGTTGAGCAACACCATGAGCAGAGTGAGTTTGGGGGCTTCTTGAATGCTATCTTCGGGCGGTGATAATAGACATACGGAGATGGACCACGAAGAAGAACGTGCAATAATTGATCATCGTACAATATGAAGCCTGGATACAATCTCTCCATCTCGTCGCACTCCTGTACAGTCTACCTCTGCCAATCAGCAGATCAGACCGCGTATTGAAAGATTTTCGATGATGCCGGGGGTACGGGCGTGCCCTATTAGGCGATTTGAAAGTAGACGAAGTCATTTTCGAGCTACAGAGCTGATGTGATTGTGGCTGAGAGAGATCCACAACCAAAACAAGAACGCGAATGAAACGTTATGCGCCAGAGCTGTCCTTGGATATGATTCGCTTAATCACAAGAGGCGGTGGTTCTGTTACACTGTCGAAGCTGAAAAATCAAGCTTTTGAGGTAGTACTTTGTTGCGAGCTGTTTTGAGGCCTACGAGCGAGTTCTACAACTTCTAGTTAATGCATAGGTCCACTTTTTGACAGCAATTTGGAGACTCGCCTGCTTCGTAGCTCTCCAGATCTGCTTTCCTCCGCCCGTCAATATGTTTCTTCGAAGCGTACAACGCGAACGCAGCTACGAACATTGCTCCTGTAAAGCCCAAAGCCTGATAGAATCAATCAGAAAAGAAATTTAAGTGATGAGCAATCACTGTATACCATGTTACGAAAGGTATTCTTGGAAGTTTTTGCGTATTGCCCGCCCATGTCGTTCAGGAGCGGTGGGGGTCAATCTGGGTCAATCCGAGGTCACCGGTAAATTCGGACCGGGGTTTTTACTTTCTCCTCGAACCACTTTGTCGATTTTGTGCGTGTCCTCAAGACCTCATTGCCCGGTAAAATAATAGATATACATTGGCATACATGAATTGTCACTATCTTCAAAATGATCAAGATGAATTCTTTCGCCACGAGAGTACTCTTGCAGCCCATCGTTTTAAGGGAAGGATCGAGGCTAGGCAAGGAAGAACTTTGGGTAAAGCTGAAGGTGCATTCAGAGTGATCAAAATTTTTTGACTTCAGCATAACGTGTTGCGATGCCGATGACCTTAGTTCGTCTCATATTCGTTCCATAGCGCTGAAATTGCGCGAACTAAAACGTGCGCGTGCGCCGCCGTGTACATCAAGGTCAGCCTACTTTAAAGTTCGTGATTATTTGACTAGTCGTACATACACATTTGTCTACAGACTGAGGAGTCAATGGTCACTTCCAGGTAGGGATCCCGTTCTCCCTGGACGCTGTCAGGATGGCTTAATTGATCATAGAGGTACCAGAACTAGCACCATTGAAATTATTGACCAAGGCTGACGTCTCCTCAGAAACGCGGCAAGGACCACCCCGTAGAATTTTCACCTTTCAGATCCGGCCCTTTCTTCATGAATCGGCAGGAAATCATCATTTCCTTTGTTCGAACCTATTGACCGTCTCCGTCGACTGAACAAATGGGAGGCCCGACTACATACCACAAATCCCATGTAACAAACATCGATTCAATAATGATGTTCATGGTAGTGGAAATGACATGTATACTTTCCTCTGACTAGCCATTTAGGGTCTGGGTGAGTGTTTCATCTAGTCCCTCAATCATACTCCAGGGGGGGGGAATGGAGAGTTGGATGTGTGTTAAATGTATACAAGTGTCTGATATGTTATTGTCAAATGTGTGGAGAAAGCTAATGATACCTTTTCTGTCTCATGCGAGCATTTTGACACGAGCAGCACAAGCTCCGGAGGTGATGAGCGAGGATCTTCAGTGAAGTTGAACGACATTCGTAAGTCAAGCGCAATGGTCCAACAAAAAGTGGTGAAACCCAGGGGAAAAATATTGTCCTAGGTCCAACCAGGACTCGAACCTGGGTTACGGGAAGTCAAGTAATCAGAATCCCGGGTGATAACCTCTACACTACTGAACCTTGCAGTTAAGGCTGCGCAATTTTCTCCAATCTGCATTTGAAGCGCTAAGTAGTTGGTCTGCACATATACATTCACAACTTCACAGAACTTTACTCACCATACACAACATTGAATCTTAGGCCCTACTTTCTGCAATGTTTACAAGTTGGGAGCAATCGGGACTACAGCGCCTGGTAGTCAATCCTGTTCAACATCGAAGATCCCCCAATATTGGAGTTGCAACGGGAGGTTCGAAAGTACATCCGCCGTTGGAATTGGGTCGCTATACTCCGTTAGGGGCAAGACGGTTTGGTCAGGCGCATTATCTACACTCGGAAGCTCTTGAGGTTTGTTCGATGTATTCCCGCTCCTGGCCTAGTAAGAACCACAGGGGGACAAACGTGACAGATCCTTAGCTTCTCCGCTTCTGAAGTCCATGCACTAGCTCTCCATTAGGAATTTGACTTGCTAATCGCTACTATAAAATGCGCCAGACACCAGAACACCCCAGGACAGCACGTTCCTCTCTCATCTCATGCCTCTCTTGAACTCGTACGACATTATTTTCGCTGGAGGTATGCGACTCGTCATCATCCCCATGAGTCTTTTGTACGGCTAATACCTTTTTTGTCCTGGGCAGGCGGTACCGCTGCGTGCATCATCGCTGGCCGCCTTGCTCAAGCCGACCCTTCGTTGAAGATTTTGGTAATTTCCTTATGATATACCGACGTTGACTACCACTTCAACTTTATCTAGATCATAGAAGCAGGCTCGCATAGCTTGAACTTACATCACCATGTTCAGCCTGCGAGATATCTCAACAACCTTGTTCAAGGTCATACGTTCACGCACCACAATAGTGTGCCGAGCGAAGCGCTTGGAGGAAGATCTGTTTGCGTTCCTTCTGGGTGCTGTGTAGGTGGCGGGTCTGCTGTAAACTGTGAGTGATGCTCAAACACTTAGACCCTGTTCATTTTGTCTATACTCATGATCTAGTTATGATGTACACCCGTGCTCCTTCGTCTGATTACGATGACTGGGAAAAACTGGGAAATCCTGGCTGGGGATCTGGGTCGCTCATCCCTTTGGCAAAAAAGGCAAGCGATTTAAACCAATGACTTCTCATTTTTTCAATTCTCCTCCGCCAGGTTGAGACCTATCAAGTCCCCGCTGGCAGTCCATCGGTGCACGGGTTCGCAGGACCCATCAAGGTCTCCCATGGAGGACGCGACACAAATATTGGGAAAGAGTTTCTTGAGGCCGCGGCGCAATATGATAAGGACAGAAAAACTTCGCCCTCTGCTGATACCAACGATTTTCAAACAATCAATGTATATGGGGTGAGTCTTTACAATTCCTCAAATCCACCTCTTTGACGAAATATTTCCCTTCTCAGCCTTGGCATAAGTAACAGTGCTTCCATTTACTTGATCACTTGATTTGACTATGCATGCGACAGATATATCGACTCGCGTACAGGAAAACGTTCGGATACCGCACATCATTTCATTTACAACCTCCAAAACTTCAACCTCGAACCCAGCGATAGCAGTAATTTGCACGTCCTAACCAACCGGCGAGTTGTTAAGGTGCTTTTCAGGTTTGTTAAGCTACCACTCATGTGTCTTTCACTGTTCAAGTTGAGCGAACATCGACAGAAACAATTGCGCAATCGGTGTCGAATACGCTGCCCGTGAAGATTTCAACGGAAAGTCACCGTCACAGCCTCCTCGAATCGCATATGCTTCCCGCTTGGTCGTAATTTCGAGTGGAGCTTTCGGGTCACCGGCAATTTTGGAACGGTGAGTTGAATTAGGTTGACTTGACTCTAGCTCGTACATCAAATGACATATTTTCCTCATCCGATCTTTTCCACATTGCTTATCCTCACTGAATTCATGTCCTATCTCGTACCTTTTTGCCATATGTACAGATCTGGGATTGGGGCCGCACGTCATGTAGCTGAAGCAAATGTTCAACAAATTGTCGATCTTCCAGGTGTCGGAGAGAATTATAACGGTACGTCTTCTTCTCGTCATAGTTTGTGTTCAAATTGAAAGTGACATGTGCGTAGATCATAACTTCTGCCTTTCCTCGTACCTAGCTTCCGAAGACTCTGACTGTCTAGATGGCATATTCAGTGGTGACGAAGAGGCTATCAAACGTAAAACTTGTTCAACGATACATGAATGACCATTGTGATTGACATTCTACCCCCGAAGCACATCTCAAAGAATGGCAAGAAAAAGGTTCAGGGCTTTTGGCGCACAAGTGAGTTGAACCTTGGTCAAATTAATACTTTTGCTGAATGTTGTCCTTCATTCAAAGCTCCATAGATGCGGGAGTAAAACTACGTCCCACCTCTGAAGAGCTCGAGGAGCTTGGGCCATCCTTCAGACAGGTATGGAAGGACGTCTACGTCGGGGCACCGGACAAGCCGGTTGCGATTTTATGTCCAATTGCAGGGTTATAACAATCTACTTGGCTGGAATCGTACACAAGTATTAATCAAGTCATGTTGTGCAGGGACTTGAAAAACGCCGGTGCATTGACTCCATCAAAGTTGAAGACGTTTGGGATGGCCTTTTACACAGTGTGTTTTCCATATCTTCGCTCCAATTTCGATAAGTGGAAAACTATTTTCAGACATACCCGCAAGCTATAGGATACAGCCATATCACTTCTGGAACCAATCCTTGGGCGCCTCTGAGGTTTGACCCTAGGTATTTGGTAGAGTGCGTAACGTTCCACTGAACTTGAATGATTGCTGTTTATGTTTCGATTACCTTGGGTCTCTTTCTCATCTTATGTTAGTTCTCTTTGCTGATGTCCTTTCTTGTTATAGCCCGGCAGATATTGCAGTACTTCGCTGGTGCTACAAGCGCGGTCGCGAGCTTGCCCGCCGGATGCGGTCGTTCAAAGGAGAAATCCCTGCTGCACAACCTGATTTTCGTCCAAGTCCTCTGATCTCTGATGTTAGTATTGGCACTTCCCAAAGTGTTCTTAACGAAAGTACTGCCTCTGTAAATCCTACTGCCTCTGGTCCAGTTCCCATTGATGCCCCAAAGATTGTTTATTCAAAAGAGGACGATAGGGCGATAGATGATTACATCAAAGCTACTGGTGAGAAGGGTAGGCTCTTTCATTTTCCGAACATTACACTAACTTTTGACCTACTACTCATGTTAGTGGGAACAACGTGGCATTCAGTGTGTATCTATTTCTATTATTCATCATCCGTTGCACTAGATGGAGGGATCTCTTTTAGCTTGGGACATGTGCTATGAAACCACGAGCAGCCGGGGGAGTCGTCGACTCCCGACTTAACGTGTATGGGGTGGAGAATCTGAAAGTGGCTGGTTGGTTCATCCGCTGATCACCCTCGAGATCACTAATAATTGGTTCATGATTATTGTAGACTTGAGCATTGTTCCATTGAATGTAGGAGCCAACACCAATAATACTGCACTCGTTGTCGGGTATGTACCTACCGCCGTGATGAGGGCTTGGTAACAATACTGACTTGACTACCAAAGGGAGAAGGCCTTTCTCCTTATTACAGAAGATCTAGGTATATCTCTTGAAAGTGAACAGATCAGTAAAGTATAGATTAAAACTAGTTTCTCGTCACTCCAACTTGTCATTGATTTCCAAAGTTTGGCATCAGGTCTCTCGATATCTGAAATCTAGTACTCCCCCGTAATACTCACTGTGCTGTTCGACGAACTTCAATCACAGTAATACACGAGCTATCTATGTATCTATGTACTGGAGAATCCCTGCGCCTGCTTCTATATATCAAACATCTATGGTCGACTTTGAGCTCACACGGAGTGTTTGTGTGGCTCGAACGACATTGTAAGTCCCTAAGAATTGTCGTTAGTGACTGGAGGGAAATTCCGATTCGACCAAGCCCACCTGGGTGATAGGCTCCGTAAAGGGGGAAGCTGTAAGCCCTCGAGAGGTCGCGGCTGAGAAAACGAAAGTCTGTCAATGGAAGAAACCTCGGTAAATCATACGTACAGACATGAAAATGGGTACGAGGGGATTGAAACGCTGCAGGCTGCTTCGCCACCTCTGCACGCAATTCATGGACAAGTAGGAAATTGACAAGAGCAGTCAAGGAGTAAATTCTCCCGAGGATGCGAAACACGAAGGCATAACCTATCATGAATTGCAAACATGATAGCAACCATCAACAATACCAGGAACGGTTAAGACATGTAACTGCTCACCATTCAGATTAATCAACCAGAATACTAGTAGGACGGTCGTTGATACAGCAGTCACGCAACCGTATGCGCCTACATAAAAACAGAACTTCTGAAGTAGTCTAGGGACCACAACAAGAAATCAATTCAAACTGTCCAAATCTCGAAGGGAAAGAGAATTCGAGTACTGACGCTTGTGTTGCATTCTGGGAGGTTCTAACTGATTTGAGCCTGGTTATGGTGACAATGGCTAATGAAATATCTGTTGTAGCCATGATAGCTGCAGAAACACTGATGAAGTTCGAGGTATGAGAGTTTAATTTTTGTAATTGGCGGAAGACAAACAGAGGTGTATTCTCTTTCAACTTCAGAGCGACGTCGGACAATGGCCTCCTTGTAAGGAAGACGGTGACGCTAACAGCTAGAGCAGGCTGAACAATCGATATCAGATAAATTCATTCTACGCTAAATTGAAAGAGTGAACACAAACATTAGAAAAAACGAGCAGAGCCAATACTGAGGTTACTGTTCGATTATGCGATCTATAAAAATACAAAAGATGAATGATGTTTGTGGTAAAAATGATAATATTCTGGCGATGCCATTCATTTCTCACATAGACCAATAACGCTTCAGAAAATAACTCTGCTCGAGTAATGCAGCCAGATAGGTAACAACGACTGCGAGCAATGTGCTCCAATGGCTCGCCAGTTTGACTTGATCTACTATGTACCACGCTGGTTACATGACATGAATCATCAGTAGAATGCAACTCGAGATGGTTCTGACACACAGGATGAAATGGCAGA